ATCAGGTAAAAATTCTTGGTATGCCTTAACCTAGTGCTCCTATTTTCTATAAACAGGTAACTAAGAAAAAAAAAAAAAAAGGCTGAAATAACTTATCCCATATTCTCTCAATTTGTACCTATTTACTTATCTACATAGAACAAGTGGTTTTATGTGACAACTTGGTTTTGTCATAGAGCTCAGATGTTTGGTCAAACATTATTTTGGATGGCTCTGTAAAATCATTTTTGGATGAGATTAACTTTTAAATCAGTGGACTCTAAATAAGATTAATTACTCTTCTTTAAATGGATAGGCCTCATCCACTTAGTTAAAAGCCATATAGAACAACGACCAACTTCCTCTGAGCTCAAATAAGAATTCATCCACTAGACTGCCTTTGGACTCAAACTGCAACTCTGTCCTGGGTCTCCAGTTGCAGCCAAAGCCTCCACAATCATGGGAACCAATTCCTTAAAATAAATTGGTATCTATCTATTATCTGTCAATCAATCAACATCCTTTTGGTTCTGCTTCTCTAGAAAACTCTAATAGATGGTAATGCTAAAGCCAAGACTACATTGTTAATTGGAGAAGAGGAGAATAAAGGAAGAAAGGAAGAGAAAGTAGTCAAGGGAAAGGAAAATGCTAAATTAACAAACACATCTTTTTAATTTATCTCTACTTAGTAGCAAACAGATTATGTGTATAAGCAACAACATATGTGTGTGTGTGTGTGTGTGTGTGTGTGTGTTCCAAAAGTTTGGTTTGGACCCATAAACTTCCTCACACACAAAAAAGATAAACACTGCCTGTATCTCCTTTCTAGTCCATTTTTCTTAAAACAGTGAAACATATCCAATTATCACCCTCCTTCCAGTCCAAAAAGAGTTGCCACCAAATATGACAGACTGCTACTGTTACTGGTCTGCTATGAGATGATTAATATTGACAAAATAAATCTTCACTTACTAAACATGACCATTAACTGTAAAAACTCAACTACATGTATCAGAGAAATTCATAACTCTATCTATTGAAGCTGTAATTCTATTAATAAACCCAATTTTATTAAACAAAACTTGGGAATCAAGTGGAAAAAGAAGAAAATATTTAAGCGCCACAAAAATGGAAAATTATCTGTTGATGATAATGTGTATGCTAATACTTTTAACTGGAATAACATACAGTGCATTCATGCTGGGAAAATTCATTCTATAAGCTGTAATGATATATAGTGGTTGAATGTATTTAAAAAAAAAAAACATGACTCTGGAATATTACTAAAATAGTGTTTTTAGGGAATCTGTGCCAACTATCAACCTTAGTTTGCTGTTTCATGCGGCAAAATAGCACCTCAGCCAACTGGTGCAATTCACAGCATCAGACTGTATGTTCATCAGTTAATGTCAGCATTACATTTCATCTAAACCTGATTGAAAAGGAAGAAAGAATATTATGAACTATTAATTTTACTTGTTCTGCAGAGTAAATACTTCATCACAAGTAATAAATATTTGAGAAGGAGGTTAATAAAAGGTTATACAACTTCTGAACAATGTTTCTGAAAGTAAGTATTACATTACTACATGTAGGAGGGGACTTCAGAAAGTTCACGGAGAAATTAAAGTATGAGTTTTAGTGTAACAAATGTTTATTATCTATGCATAAGTTTTTCATAATACACATTTTAAAAAATTTTTATTTATTACCATTATTTTAAAATTTGCTATGGGGCACATGGGCTCTCCAGAGAGAGAGAGAGAGAGAGAGAGAGAAAACAAACCACCAGGTTCAATACTTGAGCTGTGGTTAACCATGTGGGAGTCCAGCATATTAACCACGACATCACATGCCAGCCCCCATAACACACATTTTCCATGAAATTTTTCAAGATCCCTAGTAATGTTAAAAGCAGTTGAAAAATTATATAAATTATATAACATCAGCTCATGACTTTAAAATTTTGTTGTCAGAAAGATGCTCACATTTAAAATATATACAATATACAATAATGAATCTTTTCCTTCAGAACCTTAAGAATTCTAGAGGTGAACACCTGTACCAGCAGGATCAAGATTAGAGGCAGAGGGAGACCAGCAGTTAGCGTAATGGCTATGTCGCTGGACTCCCACATAGTCAACCGCGGTTCGCGTCCCAGACCCGGTGGCTTAAAACTCATGCTGGGCACTTGTGCGTGCGTGCCCAAGATCCTGAGAGGAGAAGGGATTGCGGCTTGGCCATCTCCCCTGGGGGGGGATTTCTTGCTTTCTGTCTCTCTGTCTCTCTCTGTCTGTCTGGCAAGAGCACGCACCTTATAGCAAAAACCTCTCCAAAAAAAAAAAAGATTAAAAAAAAAAAAAAGACTAGAGGCAGAGGTTAAGTCACAGTGAGTCTCTGTGTGCCAGAGACACACAGAAGAATTTGAAGCTTAGATTACCAAAAAGTCACACAAAGAAAATATAGAAAATCTTATCTCAAAGAGGGAAATTAAAGGAGATAGCAGTAGATATCTATGGAAAACATTTTAGATGACTAGATCATTAGACAGACAGTAGTCACACATTAAGACAGAGTAGTGAGTGCTTTGCCTTACTGAAGAGGAGCATTTTGTTAATACCGTCCAGAATTGCCAATAACTGGTGACCATAAAAAGCAAAAGCAATGGTTTTTAGTATGCTTTATTATTTTAAAATTGTCTACAGACAATGCATCCCTCATTGCTTACACTGAAGGTGAACTGATCACCACTAAGCTCCCCACCTCTCAGGAGACCAACAGTCAGACTTCTGTAATAATCTGTTCTATACATTCCCTATGTTCAAAACATCTGTTTAAGCTGCATCAGTAAGAAGAGCTTGACCAAAAGAGAGAAAATAAATCAGATTCATTACTTTCACTACTGTAGCTAATACTAATGCAACTGGTTCAAGTATATTATGTATTATTAACATACAATGTAAAAACAGTAGCTTAAAACATCTATATTTACCTAATAAACATATATTTTTAAAAGGAAAAAATATAAAAAAAGAAAATACAGAGCTATCTTTTTTTTTTTTTTTTGGGAGAGATTTTCGCTATAGGGCGCGTGTGCTAGCCAGACAGACAGAGAGAGACATAGAGACAGAAAGTGAGAAATCACCCCCCAGAGGGGATGGTCACGCCGCAATCCCTTCTCCTCCATTCTCCTCTCGGGCACGCACGCACACGTGCCCGGCGTGAGTTTTAAGCCACCGGGTCCGGGAAGTGAACCGCGGTCGACTACGTGGGAGTCCAGCGACATAGCCATTATGCTAACTGCTGGTTCCCGAGCTATCTTTGCATAAATGACTTTATGGAAAAATGTCCTTTATTCATAGATATTTTTTTCTTTTAGAAATCATAAAAAAGGTAGGCTTAAAAGTAGAAACGGTTTTCTATAACTTGATTCTACCCCTGAAGGTTTGAAGTTTATTTTCAGTTTTATAGGAATCCAAAGGATTTGTCTTATTTGTGTTCTGTAAATCATACTTGTAAAATATTCTAATTCTACTAAAAGTAAAGTTTGCATAAGGAAAATAGTTCAACCCAATTTCCACTGTGTTGTTGATCCCACTCTAACTGCTTGGTAGGAATGAGAACTGGAGGTAAAGTAACTACTGGGTCCTTGAGAAGTCATGACGTCATTTTTGCATAGAAAAACATATAGACAAATTCATCACCACTTTCCCGACAACTTAATATTAAGTACCATTAAATATACTTTAAGGAGATTTCGTGACACTAGTGAAAGAAGTATAAACTATGCCACTCATCAGCTTATTTGCCAGAAACTGAGTGCTGTAAATATGGGGCAGCTTAGAAAGAACTGGGCTCAAGGGCCCAGCTCAGCACCACCTCCAAGTCTACAGGGTTTGTCCTATGTACATGACCAATGAGAAACAAAACCATCATTTCCAGCTTGGTATTTATACTTGTTTGAAATACAGGTGCCTTACTAAATGCTGTTGGTACTTTTTAAGGAAAAAACAAGAAAAAACTACAAAAGTACAATGCAATTATGTAACAAGAAAGGACGTGCTGAGAATTAAGTAATTTATGTCTATGAAGATTTGATAAATAATATGCTAGAGTGGTGGAAAAGGGCATAAACTGTTTTGCCATATAAAAATTTAAAAGTCTTCTTTCTTTTTTTATTTTTAAGAGGTTTTTGCCTTAGAGCATGTATACTTGCCAGCGAGAGAGAAAAAGAGAGAGTGTGTCAGAGACAGTGAGAGGGAAAGTGAGAAATCACTCCCAGGGAGGGATGGCCACAATCCCTTCTCCTCCATTCTCCTCCCGAGATCTTAGGCATGCATGCACATGCGCCTGGCATGATTTGCCAGCCACTAGGTCCAGGACTCAACTCTGGTCAGCCATGTGGGAGTCCAGTGACATAACTGTTACCATCTGCTGGCCCCAAAAAGCCAATTTCTCAAGTTTTTAAATTCTTAAAATTTAATGCACCTGAACACAGCAAGGATTCTAATAATATATGTCAATTATAATTAATAAAGGCTTACTGGCCAATAGATTGCTATTAATAAAGTGGGGGTTAAAAGTAAGTACACTGAATGCACATTTTCCTCTTCTAACACATACCTTAGTATGCACTAGGCTTCAAAAGTTTTATTTTCAAGTTATTCAAAAATTTTCTTATAGTAATTTCCAGAGTTTGACTGGCATCTAACAATCAATGTAAAACAAGCCAATGCTTTATTCATAGACTTAAAAGTTAACAAGAGCTTAGGAATATAAATGTGTCTTCTTTTATCTCACAATAAACACCAGCTAGCATATGTCAAAGAAGAAGGCTGTGTGCTATATAAAAAGTACAGGGTTAGGCCTGTACTGTTACAGTTTTCAGACTGTAACATTCTTGGTCCCTCTGTAATAAGGTTCACTAGCCTATGGATAGTACATGTATCTACAGACAACTATGAAAACAACCAACTGTGAATGTATCTTTCTAGTTTAAACCCAACTACAGATCGACTTACCAAATCCCTGTGCAACACCCAATTAGCATGCAGGTAGTGAATCCCATCCAGGATCTGATATAAAAGTGACTTCACCATTCCCCGAGGTAACTGAACTGGCTTCTTGTTTGCTTTAGAAGCTCTGTGAAACTTGATTATATGCTGAAAGAAAGACAAAATATCACTAGAAGCTTAAAAAAGATCATTGGGTATATAATTATTTTTCCTAATTAAAAAAAAAGAAACACTAAGGGATTCCCAAAGGTACTGAAAATATAATTTCACATTTAACTATATAACATAAATGACTTGAAAATTCTCTAAAACCTGACGCTAAAATTCTATTTACTAAGTATATGATAGTGTCTCAGGAAATAGGAATTTCTTTTTTTCTATGTAAAATTGTGCCACGAGTTTTCCCAAGACCCAATAATTATGGTAGAGACATAGGAAATACTGTGCTTTTATTTTAAAAGTATAATTAAAACTACTTCCAGAGAATAACTTACTCATTTATCTGGTAGGAATTATTCAAGCACATAACTTTTTTTTTATTTTTACTATACAGTGATTAAATGAAAGAAAAAGATTTCAAGAGATACTTCTGGTTAGATGACATAGCTTAGATGTACAATGTATTTATGACAGGATATAAAGAAATTAAGTGAGAAAATGTATCAATAAAATATTCACAAGCATAAAGAAACGATAACATGACTAGATTACACTGGAAATAATTGGATATTTGAAAGATTCAGATGAGGGAAAAAAGTTTCCTTATACCAACCATGAAAACTTTCTACTGATATGTATAGTGTTAATCGACATCTAGTAAAGCAAATTGTAACTTTATGAATATAAAATTACTTTATAAGTAAATGTACCTCAAAAATTTTTTAAAGTTTCAATCTCCTTTGATAGGTGTCTTCATTTTAATTAAAGCTCTCTTAAATTGCAAAAAATCAGTAAGTTACGGGACCAGCAATTAGCGTAATGGCTATGTCACTGAACTCCCATGTAGTCAACCGCGGTTTGAGTCCCAAACCCAGTGGCTAAAACTCACACCGGGCGCGTGTGCGTGTCCTGAGAGGAGAATGGGGGGGAAGGGACTGCGGCGTGGCGATCCCCCCTGGGGGAGTGATTTTTCGCTTTCTATCTCTCTGTCTTTCTGGCGAGCACGTGCACCCTATAGCAAAAACCTCTCAAAAAAAAAAAAAAAAGAAAGAAAGAAAGATATCAGTAAGTTAGCTATAAAGTAGTTGACTATGGCTCATACACCAATATATCTATACCTGCGACCAAATCTATATAAAGCTGACTTTCAGTAATACTTGTATGTGAATATTAAGCATATTCTTGAAATTGGCAAACATAATAAAAATTGGAGATATTTAACATTGTAGGTTAGCATTTTCACTTTCTATTTTCTTATGACATATAGAACACAGTATATATAGGGAATAACTAATGATTAAGCAGTAAAGAAGTTTTCCTTTGCATGGAAAACGCCTAGCAAAGAGTGTCTAGGAGGAGGCTACATATATCAGTCATCATATAAATAGTATAATCAATCTATATCTTTTATTAGCAACATTATGCTATTTTAATTTTGTAGGGTTTTTATCAAGGTATTTATTACCAAGCAAACAAAATACAGCTACAAGAACTTTATAATCTAGAATATTTTGTCAACTGTCTTTTAAGATATGTGACAAATCTGTTCCCCTTAAGAATATCCTCTGGCTCTCTAAACTTAATAAAAACAGATTTTAACAGAGTACTTTTTTGGAAGGAAATGGAAATCCTGTCAGATTAAGAATGAAATGGGCAAATATATAGGAGCAGTAAAATGATTAATTTATTTTACATACATTTCTTCTGTTAGCACTTTTCACTAGAGTATTACAAAGTGACAGTTTTACCAATATTTTAAAATGATAAAGAAATATGGCGGGGGGGGGGGGTTCTTAACTGTATTTTCTTTATATTCCAGGACTATATAAAATATATGTGTATCCATATTGTAAAATTTCACCAACACCTAAATGACATTTTTTTATCATTTCTATTTAGGGGCAGGTGATGTAGTGGTCAAAGTGCTAGACTCCCACATGGCTGACTAGAGTTCAAGTCCCAGACTTGGCAGCTTGAAAATCATGTCAGGCATGTGTGTGGGCAAGCCCCAAATCCC